ACACACGCATACACAAACCGTCCGGCGCCTCAGGAGGGGGAAGCAGTTCTTTGCCAACACCATGTACGGTGCGGGTGGAGAGCTGCTGACCTCGACGGGGGATATTGTCGGGCGGTGGAAGGAATACTTTGAGGTTCTCCTCAATCCCCCCGTCACGTCCTCTGTCTCAGAGGCAGAGGCTGAGGATGCTGGGGCGGATACATCCATCTCCCTGGCTGAGGTCACCAAGGTGTTTGGTAGCCTCCATGGTGGCAAGGCTCCGGGTGTGGATGAGATCCGCCCTGATTATCTAAAGTCTCTGGATGTTGTAGGACTGTCTTGGCTGACACGTCTCTGCAACATCGCGTGGCGATCGGGGGCGGTGCCAATGGAGTGGCAGACCGGGGTGGTGGTCCCTCTCTATAAGAAGGGGGACCGGAGGGTGTGTTCCAATTATCGTGGGATCACACTCCTCAGCCTCCCCGGTAAGGTCTACTCCAAGGTACTGGAGAGGAGGCTACGGCCGATGGTCGAATCTCGGATCCAGGAGGAGCAGTGTGGTTTTCGTCCCGGTCGCGGAACACTGGACCAGCTCTATACTCTCCATCGGATACTCGAGGGTTCATGGGAGTTCGCCCAACCTGTCCACATGTGCTTTGTGGATTTGGAGAAGGCGTTCGACTGTGTTCCCCGGGGTGTCCTTTGGGGGGTTCTCCGGGAGTACGGGGTCGGGGGTCCTCTGCTGAGGGCTGTTCGGTCCCTGTATGACCGGAGCCAGAGCTGTGTTCGCATTGCCGGCAGTAAGTCAGACCTGTTCCCGGTGAATGTTGGCCTCCGACAGGGCTGCCCTTTGTCACCGGTTCTGTTCACTGTATTTATGGACAGAATATCTAGGCGCAGCCAGGGGTCGGAGGGGGTCCGGTTCGGGGACCACAGGATTTCATCTCTGCTGTTTGCGGACGATGTTGTCCTGTTGGCTCCAACGAACCAGGACCTGCAGCATGCACTGGGACGGTTTGCAGCCGAGTGTGAAGCGGCTGGGATGAGAATCAGCACCTCCAAATCTGAGGCCATGGTGCTCGACCGGAAAAAGGTGCCTTGCCCTCTGCAGGTGGGTGGAGAGGTCCTTCCTCAAGTGGAGGAGTTCAAGTATCTCGGGGTCTTGTTCACGAGTGAGGGAAGAATGGAGCGTGAGATTAACAGGCGGATCGGTGCAGCGTGCGCAGTGATGCGGTCGCTGTATCGGACCGTTGTGGTGAAGAGGGAGCTGAGCCGAAAGGCAAAGCTCTCGATTTACCGGTCAATCTTCGTTCCCTCCCTCACCTATGGTCATGAGCTTTGGGTAATGACCGAAAGAACGAGATCGCGGATACAAGCGGTCGAAATGAGCTTCCTCCGCAGAGTGGCTGGGCGCTCCCTTAGAGATAGGGTGAGGAGCTCAGTCACACGGGAGGAGCTCGGAGTAGAGCCGCTGCTTCTCCACGTCGAGAGGAACCAGTTGAGGTGGCTCGGGCATCTGTTCCGGATGCCTCCTGGACGCCTCCCTGGGGAGGTGTTCCGGGCACGTCCCACCGGGAGGAGGCCCCGCGGAAGACCTAGGACACGCTGGAGGGACTATGTCTCTCAGCTGGCCTGGGAACGCCTTGGGGTCCCCCCGGACGAGCTGGAGGAAGTGTGTGTGGATAGGGAAGTCTGGGCGTCTCTGCTTAGACTGCTGCCCCCGCGACCCGGCAACGGATAAAGCGGAAGAAAATGGATGGATGGATGGATGGATGGCATACACACACACACACACACACACACACATACACACACGCGCACACACACACACACGCACACAAACACACATATATATACATTTACATACACATACGTCAAGACCAACCTTAAAGAGCGTCATCCAATACTTGATACACACCATTGTTTTTTTGGTTCATTAGTGTTGTACATTGAAAGCTTCTTTTTCTGAAGTTTTTGTATTTCCAACAGTTTTTGTTTTGAAAAGTTTGTGGACATTGTAGACAAACTACTGTGGCCTTTCACCTATTCTGGAGTGCAAGGTGCCGCTGGAGAGCAGGGTGCTGCAGAGGGCAGTTGCAGAAGCACGTCTCCCGTAGTTTTCAGTAATGGAAAAATAGGTCTGATGGAAAACCCTGCAGATCCCAGTTGGAGGAATGTTTTGATACGTCACAATGGTTTGTCTTTTTAAAAGTGCTGAAAACTGGTGCTCTCTGCACCGCTGCTGTGGCAGGGATTTCTTGGAAACCTGTTTGGTTCAATTCCGGCTTGGATACATCTCCGTTTGTCCTTTCTGGTTTCACGAGCAGAAACAGCAGAGGTATATATGGAGTAAATAAATGATTACGTTTGTGTACGGCCTGATTCTAACATAGAAAGACAAATGTCCCTGTTGTCTGGAGCTCGCTGAGTCAATTGTAGGAGGAGTGTGGAGCACAGATTTTTATTGGATGAAGTTTATTGAGACACAACAGGGCTTGGTCCTGGTCTCGGATCTGCATGTTTTGAAATGAGTCTGCAGCAATCTACAGCCGATGTTTATTTGTGTTGCCATACTTACATGCGAAAGTCAGATCCAGTTGGACCTCTGAAGCTGTGCAGGACAGGGCTCGGTTAGTACTGAGATGGGAGACCAATACCAGCTGTCACAGTGGGGGTGGCTGTGGCTGTAAAGTGATAAACTGCAGTTGTGTCCTTGGGCAAGACACTTCACCCACATTGCCTAGAATGACTCTGGTGTGTGTGTGTGTGTGTGTGTGTGTGAATTGTGGGTGGTGGTCGGAGGGGCTGACGGAACACCACTGTGTATGGAGTGAAAGAATAATGACATGTGAAGCGTCTCTAAGAGTCCTGAAAATGCATTTTTACTTTAAGCCCGAGGTAACACCAAGTATTGGAGAGGGCTATTGTAATTCGTTGGTTTCTTTTTTTTTGCCAAAAGGATTTGATATTTGACCTTGAAGACATGCACGTATGATGGCACATGGGAGGTCTAATGTCACCGAGTTAGGATTAGTAGTAGTAGTAATCTTTATTTATTGAGAATGAGGAGTCACGTGCCGAGTTGGGGTGATTTGGGGGGGGCTCTGAGCCTGTCGGACATATTGGCTGCGCAACGGGGGCACGCCCCCAGAATTTCACGCGCTCCTCATATTCCAGAGCACTTTAAATTATACGCATTTACGTTTTCGGCGAGACAGAGACGGATCTACTGATACAACAAGGGAAAGGAAGACAGTAAAGTATGTTTACATGCTGGAAACAGTACTTTGAATGCACATGTTGTTTTGCAGTGTTTTGTGTCCCTTTGCACTAAGAAAAGTATGACTCTTATGATCATTTTTGCCTATGCTGTGCATGTTTACATGCTGGAAACAGTACTTTGAATGCACACGTTGTTTAGCAGTGTTTTGTGTCCCTTTGCACTAAGAAAAGTATGACTCTTATTATCATTTTTACCTATGTTGGGCATGTTTACATGCTGGAAACAGTACTTTGACTGCACACGTTTGTAACAAAAAAAATATTCATTTCTCAATAAATATTGGTAAACCATATCAAGTTGTTTCATGCATTTATTTAAAAATAAAAGATACAGTAAAGAATAAGGTACTCAAACAACACTTTTGCACATGTTCGTTAAGGCACAGCAAACAATGACAATCTTATCCAAAGGCATTAGGTTTTCACCCTCACATTTGACAAGCATGTGCACAGGTACAGTTGAGTGTAAGAATTTGAATTTGTTGCGCACAACACCGATCACCCTCTCCACGTGAATTCTGAGATGTGCTATGGCCCTAGTCTCCTCCACATCTTTCGCCTCAAGCTGAGCACGACCCCTGGTGAATGTAGGTATTTTCACTTCAGCACACATCATGCCCACATGTTCTCTTATATTAAAGCCTCTATCTGCCAGCACAATGTCACCTGGTAACAGCTTGTTCAGGAAACCACTTTGCTCAGTTATATGCTTGTCGCTTGTGCGCCCACCCCACCCGTTCGATATGAAGGAAATTACACCCTGGGGCGTGATCACGATTAGGTATTTCATAGTGTATGCGTGTTTGTATTGAGAAAAAGTCTGTGCCCTTGCTAGTACATTGGAAGGTTTCTCGATGAACACCTCGAAGCAGTCCACAATGGCAGCCACATTGTTCCCAAATGACTCCACAAACTGGTGTGGCATACTGGTCAATAAGCATTCCCTACTTGGCCAGTGCACCAATGGACACAGCTGTGCGTACATCACACCAAGGGTATGGTGAAAGGCTTCGGCGACTGTTGTCCTATGTACTCTAAACAGATGGCTGAGGTGCTGTATTGGAAGGTCCAGTCTGAGGCGCATTAAAGTCAATAGGACAAGCTGGAAGGGTGAGAGCTTCTTCATTCTACCTTGAGGCAGATCTGGAGTTAGGTAGAGTAGAAGTGTCTGGAACAATGCAAAGTTTGGAAGCCCCGTGTAATACTTCACTGTGTTATCATCACCACTCAGAAAGTTCTCATTCATCCGGTACGTATCAAGCTCACGCTTCAGCTGTCTGTTTTCTTCAAGAAGATTGTTGATAACATCTCGTCTAGATGTGCAGAGTCCACATTCCATGTCCGGGTCAGCTGGCGGCTGGTCTAGGGCTGGCGGCGGCGGCGCCTGCGGCTGGTCTAGGGCTGGCGGCGGCGGCGCCTGCGGCTGGTCTAGGGCTGGTGGCGGCGGCGCCTGCGGCTGGTCTAGGGCTGGTGGCGGCGGCGCCTGCGGCTGGTCTAGGGCTGGTGGCGGCGGCGCCTGCGGCTGGTCTAGGGCTGGTGGCGGCTGCAGCTGGTCTAGGGCTGGAGGCGGCGGCGCCTGCGGCTGGTGTTGGGCTGGAGGTGGCTGCCGCTCCAGTGGCAGGGACCTGCGCCTTACTTGCCGCTGATATCTCGCTTCATCTGTTTTTTGTACATCATTGTGGCCTAACAACAGGGATGGTGTCCAGTCAGGGTGGTTCTCCAACATCTCATATGCTGGTTTACCTACACGAGAATAATAACAACATATAATTAATATAATAATTTGCACAATCTATGTAATCAATGCTTTAAACTGGCAACTATGTCATGAACAGCATCTCAAGTACTTTTTAGGTCACCTCATAATGTCATATGAAGGTTTATGTACAACAGAATAATTAGATTATGTGTACAATCTATGTAATCTATGCTTTACACTGGCAAAGACCTCGCAGAACACGTGCTAAGTAAGAAACAGCCTGAGAGGGTAACAAAGACACAGAGACAAAGGCACTACAGAAACCATAATAACATATGCTAACCTACACTTCCTAGCTTTAAGAGACAACTACATAAATACATTTTTAGAGAACGTACCAGAGTGAAAATGCAGAGAACACACTCTCGTCGACAGGGGTGTGTGATCGAAAGTAAGGTCCTTTTCTTCTAATTGCAGCCAACCAAGCAATCCGACGTCTCCTTGTCAGGTCAGAGAATTGCTCCCCTTGATGCTTTTTCCATTTCGGTAACCTAAAAAACTGTATCCCGTTGTTACTAGGTTTTCCATATCCATCGTGGGAGGTATTGGAGCAGTTTTTAACGCAGCAGTTATTTCCAGGCATGATAAAACAGTGCGGAATAGCAAGAACCTCCGCTACTACCGCGTTCACAACACACGTAAACAAACTGTACTGCCGCCACCGGTGCGCAGCCAATATGTCGGCAAAGGGGGGATGGGGAGGGGGGACTCTGTGCCGTGACGTCAACTCCTCATTCTCAATATACCGCCTTTTCACTGCACATCGGAGTCTCAAAGCGGTTTACAATTGTCATTTTTGGGAGTGGGGGTGCCAGTACAGGAGGCACATGCCAGACCTATTGCACATATTTTTAGTGGTAGGGGAAACCGGAGCACCCGGAGGAAACCTACGCAGACACGGGGAGAACATGCAAACTCCACTCAGAAAGGCCCTGGTCCAACCGGGATTCGAACCCAGGACCTTCTTGCTGAGAGGCGAGAGTGCTATCCACTCAGCCACCGTGCCGGGTTGCCAGAACTAGTGCTTGGTTTTTCATCACATCACTGAGGCCCTGTCCACACGAAGTCAAGCTCAGGCCTAAACGCAAAAATACTTTATCAATCCAGTGTATCGTCCATACGAGGCCGGCGTTTTGGGGGGGTGTAAACGAACATTTTTGAAACTAGGTCCCAGAGTGGAAAGATTTCAAAACTCCGTATATGCCGCTCCGTGGTTACTGCCTCTCCGCAATGTATCTGAGACGCTTGCGTCATCGCCCCGCCTCTTGTTAAAGCACGCATGCGCCGCACTCAGAAAATAATGACAACAACAATGTAGCTTGTTGGTTTTGTAATCCAGTGTGACCCGAAGCAACAGTTCAACCTCATCGTTCGTCCATACTAATGTAGTACCAGCTCGCCCACTCGCCATGTTGTCTGTTTACAAAATTCCGCGCATGCCCACGGAAGTTTGGGCTTGATCCCGTCATTGCGTCACAGCGCCACCAACAGGTCTGGCATAGTTTCACAGCGTTTTCAGGCGTATTGACTACATTCATATGGACGCACACATTTACTGAGCTAACTCCGTGTTTACAGAAAAAGTTTCTGAAATTATAAGCGTTTTGTCTTCGTGTGGATATAGCCTGAGTGCAGTCTCTGAACCGAAACGAGCAAAACATCACATTACGCAAAAGTTGTTAAGTCCCACACCTGACCACTAGGGGCACCCTGAATTCTTTGAATGAGCTTTTTGAACACAACGTTTGTCCGATGAAGCTAGAAATTAATTCACAAATACAGCGTTTCCCCCCGAACACAACAATATGTAAAACACAGCAACACAGTGAGTGCAACAGCGCCACCTCCAGGCAGTTGAAGGTGTTGTGTTTTTAATTCAATCTAGGCAGGCATTTCTCCATTTGCAATATACACTTATCAAGAATACAATATCAGACCTAGAGCTGTAACTTGAATCACTATCAGTTGGTGAAATACACACCTACTATGAATCTAAAGCGCCACCTATTGGAGGCGTCCGACCTAGATGTTTTCCAAAGTCGCAGAGTCAAATCTTTACATCCGTAAGAGGAAAATACATCACAGAGGGTGTATGTCCCACCGGTGACCACTAGGAGCGCACTGAATCCTATTAAGGAGCTTTTCCGTGCGCAATTCTGGTCCTATCAGGCTGCGAATTCATAAGCACAAGTACACAGCATGCCGCTTATGGTACAGGCGCCCGGGAGGCGGCTGCCAGAGTGGAGAGGGCTTTCAACACTGCTTGCGGCTTCAATTATTATGATCATTAATACAGTCTATGTGGGGATGACATCAAGGGGCTTCAACACTGTTCATGGGACAAAGAAATGTTTTTCACTTGTTAGCACACTTTATGATCACATCACTGACCCTGCTGCGATTCAATCAAAGACCCTGATGACAAAACACAACAGCCACGAACCCATGATTTTTTTAGTTGTTTTAAATATTTTCTGTTTAATATACTAATATACAAAAAATAATATGTATTGCATATGTATTCTTTGCACACAGCTGTGATTAATGCAATGTGTGGAATACGGCTCATTACGAGTCTAGACGTGATTAATGGGTTTAACAGGAACAAATCTTCTTGTGCTTACAATATCACAGTACAGCAGATTCAACATTCAACCCTCTGCTGAGAAAAATCTTTTATTCTGGTTACACAAAACAAAAAGTATGGGGTTGCTGTTTACAATTGTGAACCAACCTATATCTCAGGATGACAAAAGAAATGTTATGCAGCTTACTCCCTGGAAGAACAGTGTATCTCATTTAAAAACAGTTTACAGAAACCTGTTATGTCTCGATGCCAAGATTACACCACACTGCGGCGAGTCAGTAATGCGCCTCTTCTCGCTGCTCAGAAATACAGGAGTGATTGCATTTTCATTGTTTGACGAAATGTCCCACAATAAAACCCTTGTATCTGTCTATCTATATGATAAGTAGCCATGTTGAGTGCATTGATATTCCGCCGCAGTTTGTAAGCGCTGATTACACAGATCTTTCGGCTCGAGAGGCGTTTCCAATTGGTTTTCCATCCCACTGCAATCAACAGACGCCTCTACACCGGGAACACACAAGTGATTACAAGCTAAATGAAACGCCACACACATGCGCGGAAATTTATTCAATACAGTGGACGCAATCGGGGTATTTATTCAACATTGGGCTATAAAAGCTGTGAGTAAAATGGAAAGCCTTTGGAGCTTTGAGTAGTGGGTCAATCTGTTGTTGTTTAGTTTACAATGTATGTTTTCGTTTGAGGACAGTATAGATTTTTTTTGTAAAACCATTAACAATTTGAAATACAGAATTATAAGACAATGCTTTGAGTTCAATTTGTGTTTGCATGGCCCTAAATCACAAAAAAATCAAATGGTTCAAAACACAGGAAATGCATTGATAACAAACTCAAAGTTGGTTCATAGAGGCAGATGTCCATAAACGTTGATGAATGTCCATAAATATCCATAAATGTCCTTAAATGTCCTGGCTCTTCTCCGTCCTCATTAGACCCTCCTGCATCAGTTAGGAACAACTCAAAAAACCCAGTGGGAAAAAGTGAGAATCCTCAGGGTAGTCCATATTAAGAACGACATCTGCTGTCACAGATGGACAGGATGTGAAGGACTGAACCAAACCTGTGCATTTCATTCATTTTATTTGTCATATATTATTATTTTTTGTGTATTCCCCTTTTCCTAGTACTACCTGACTGTGAACACTATAAAAAGGTTGAAATAGGGTTGTTTTGTTGTTTTTTTGCAAGGTGTCTGATACGTAACCCAGACACCATCCCACCACAGAATAATCAGGGGGAAAAAACTGTGACCTGTCTTGCACCCTAACCCTTTACAGCCTAATTATGAAATGTGTTCTACTTTTGAGCCCTAATGTTTTGAAATAGCTAGTGAGTGTTTTTTTTTTTTTTTTTTTTATCTTATAAGAAAATAATGATCGGATATTCTGAGCTTTGGATCTCGAGTGTTGATCGTTTGAATGGAAGCAGGAAGATTTTGTGGTGCACTCTGTGATGATGTCTTCCTCTAATGTTGGCAAGTGGTAATTTGACTGTCAATATCAGATGCAGATTGCAAAGTCCATCTGCACTGAGTATTGAAGGAGCCATGGGAAAATAAATGGTGACCAGAAATATGAGACAAGATCGGGAAAGTGGGTCGACCGTGCTTTTGTTTTCTACGTCCTTGGTGACATGGAATTTTATTATGCACTAAGTTTAGGCAAGGTAAGGCAAGTTTATTTGTATGGCACAATTCTTACACAAGGAAAATTCAAAGTGCTGAACAAAACAAGATAGAAACAGTTGCACAAAGCTTTAAAATCATGAATAATCACAGTACAGTATGTTCAAAATAGATATACAAATATAAAATCCCTCAGTTGTATGCACAGATAAACAGAACTGTTTTTAACCTGGATTAAAACATTGTCAGAGAAAAGGCCTGTCTCACACTTTCAGGAAGATTGCTCCAGATTTGTTCTGACTCTGATTGCTCCTCAAAGTCCGAGTTAGTGTCATATAGTCCCCTGTAACACCCTCCCTGACCCGCTCCTGTCCCCGTTATCTTCATCTCTCTGGAGCCAGAACTCCACTGAAAAAGAGATCTCAGTGGGACTTTCTTGGTTCAATAAAGGTCAATAACAAAATAAATAAATAAAGCACAAGCGATAATTTCTGTGACCTGCAAAAGTGCTCGGAGTAGAGACAACAGTCAGAGTTCATGGGGCAGTTGTAGTCCCACAGAAAACAATTGTTAGGCTAATGAGAAGTATGACCAACCAACCCTCTCATTCTGTACGTCACAATAAAATGAAGCAAATATATACAATAGGGAGGTCTGATTGAGGTGAGTTTTGTTGTAGAATTTCTGCACAGGCTGAGAGCATAAAGAGCAAAAACAACCAAGAGCAGTAATACAATCAAAGTGTGGGCTCTTTCATTAGTAATTGTGCACATCCACAATGAAAAGTAGAACCACGTCGCTGTCATGGGGAAATGACTGGACATTAGATAGTCCAGAGTAAACAAACACATAACTACTCTTGATACTACACAGATGAAGTCAGTATTGATAAGTGTGACTCAAGGTTTCTCTTACTCACTCTTCCTCACGCTGATACAGCTCTGAAACATTCTATAATTGTCTGTCTTTTGACACAGATGTTGCAGAAGACATCTCCCATCTGACAGAACAACAGATGATATGGGCTGTATTAATATCAAGAGTCTCAGATTAGCTAAAAACTTTCATCTATTTGATGATAATACAGATTTCTTTATCGAGTTATTTAATAGTAGGATGTACTGCACTAAAAAAGTCTTCATACCTCTGTATCAGGTGTTAAGTGTGACTGTGAGGCTTTGGGACATTCAAAGGAGAATTAGACCATCGTATGTGTCACAGTCAGAAAGAGCAGCATGAAACCTTGTTCATAAACTCATCCTTCTGTTGGTTGTTGACAAACACAATTCAGATCCTACTGATCTAATGTAGAAGGACTACATTTTATTAACATTTTACTACTTTTTTGAGTTACTCCTACTGCATTGAGGTGGACAATATGGATAACTGAAACAGCAAAGAGCTTGTTTACTTCCATCTTTAGTGTGCTTACAATAATTATTTGTGGTAAGCATGCAAACATGGTATATATGAAATATTAATACAAAATAATTAGAAACATTTGTGCAAATATCAAAAAACTCGTACTAAAATGGGATCCACTGCATCATACTTCAGGAGAGTTGGTGATGAGTCCATCATTGACTGCACTCTTGGTGATATTGGTTAAGAATCACTATACCATGCAGCAACAACAAAACCTGGTTTTTCCCAACAACATCTGGTTCATGACAAACTCACAGAAGCACACGCCTCCCTCAAGGTGACCGTCAGTGGAGGTGGTTTCAAAGGGAAGGAGAGCATTCGAGAGGCGGCATGTGTAGTCACAGGAGTATTTCTGAATGGCTTTATAAAAAACCTCTTGGTCCTGGTCGTGTCCACTCAGCTCCTGTCTGCATCTCTCCACACTCACATACACCAGGAGCAGTTTAGAGTTGGACTGAGCCCCGATCAGGACGTTCTGCTCATACAGGAGACTGTTGGCCTGACCCACGGCCTTCTGAAGCTCACGCATAATACGATGTTTCTCATTCTGCATGAGTGCATACAGCTTATATATAATCCATCCTGCCATTAGATATAAAAACACAATAGTTGCAGGTAGGAGCCCCTCTGGTGCTTTTTTCCAGAAAGAAAATCCGGCAAATCCTGATACTGCCAGAAGATAGCCTATCACAACCATAAATGCTACAAATATGACAAGGATTTGCTTCCAGAGCTGCCTGAGCCTCACTTTTGTCTGGGAGACTGTGTTGATTATCTGTATAGCCTGTTGGTAGACCTCTGGTTGCTGAATAATCAGACGAAGTTGCTCAGGTACACTCTCACTCCACTCCCCACAGTCAAAGGATTTGAAATGATCTCGATTCAACTGCTCTTCATTAACTGCAGGCAAAGGCTCCAGGCTTTTTCCATTATAGAAGGAGGGAGGCTGGTAGGGCACTACAGTGGAGCCCTGCATCTCCTGGTTGGGCGTACACAGGACTCGCATCAGTTGCTGTCTGAAGTCGGGCTGGTGGACGTCCAGGTAGGTGAGGTGGGCCAGGGGCAGGGGAATGGGCAGGTCCCTCTGCAGCAGCAATGGCACTATGGGCTTCCTCTGGAGACAGTCTCTGAACATGGACATGTTGGCCTCCAGCAGACACCAGCGGCTTCGCACAAACTCTGCACTCAGGACCAGCAGCACCTTCTGGCTCTTCTGGATGCTCTCAGACATGTTGTTAAGGATGGGACGTCCGGCAGTGAAGTCTCTCTCATGGTCACACACTCTCAGACCACTTTGCTCCAGCTGCTGTATGAGAGTGTGTGTCCATTGGTAGTCAGTGCTGCTGTAAGTGCAGAAGACGTGGTAGGACTCTCCCTGAGAGAGAGCTGTTGGAACTAACTCCCCACCGTCCATTTTTCTGAAAACAAAAATCTCGTTTAGATTTTGGAAAAATAAAGTGCTCTACAACTTTTCCATACCAATTATTTACCATTCTCTACAGTATCCACACACAGTGAAGACAGGAGCAAGAAGCTGAACACTTGGCAACATGAAGCCTCTGACCACACCTTCCCCCACTCATTACATACAGTATCTATCTATCTATCATCTATCTATCTGTTTATGTGATTACAAATGCACAACTGATATACCTTCCAACCTTTCAGTCGCCTCTACCATGGTTGTTCCTCCAATCCACTGGCTGTAAAAATTGTGTCTGAGACAGGGGGTTTGGCCAGGTCCTTTCTGCTCCATGCTTCAACTCCCTCTCTCTAGAACACTTGAACCTCAATCTCTTCTACAGTACAGTAGGATGCGAATAGCCTTGCTCACAAACATCTTTTTGGAGACTTTTCTATTGGATTATCCTTCCCCTGGACAATAATCAAACTGAAAATAATAATAATAAGAAGAAGGTCCTTTACCCCAGGCTTCCAATAGTACAAACCAAAACTGAACTTTGTGAAACCCTTAGTAAATATTGTTAATGTACATTGTGTAGATATCACTTATCTATCATTTCCAACAATAAAATACACACTCTGCACTATTTCCTTATCTCAAACATTTGCCAACGCCCTTTAGTGAGCCGAGGCAAATCTTTGTATTTGTCATACTGTATTAATCTGATTTTGAACAACTCCCCGACAGTTTACTCCCTCAGAACAGCATTATCATTCTGTACATGATAATATACATAATACATAATTGGTAAGTGAACATAACAACCTACCTGTGAGTTTAAGCAGCAGGGACTGTACTTTGGACCAGGTAGCAGGGAAGGCAGGTCAATTCCTCTCACACAGCCGCTTGTGAAACTGTGAAAAGGCCGAGAGCGGGTCTGACAATGGTGATAAACTAATTTGGCTAATGTTTAACTCAGTCTTGTGCTTTAATACATATTCCTGTAACTTGCCGTGTGCGCGGTAAAAGGCGTCTTTACAGGAAGTAAGGAGTACGCTCGGTTTAAGGTACTAGGAACTGTTGTACGCATATAGATAACTCTCTATATAGTTCCTGATCGCAAAAACTTTCAAAAAAGGTCATTAAACAACAATATTATCTTTATTTGTTACTATTCAATTGTTGTCTATGCATGTCAATGTTTGTTTATGCCGTGTGCTACATCAGAATCATTTTTATTGCCATTTAAGAAACAGGAAGACACATGTAATTTCATTTTCATTCTTAATGTATCCTCTTCTGGGTCAGGGGTGTGGCCAGAAAGCGTCCCCCCAAATCACATTGCTTTGGCTCTCAGTGCAAACAGTCAAAAGTAGAGGTAGAGAATAGAGCAGTGGTCTCCAACCCATAGCTCCCCAAAGGATTTAGATTTTAACATATGACCCAAAATGGTTAATATTTTCAGTCATTAAAAATCTATTATAATTGAAAACATGAGGTTATACAGTATTCTGGTGTATTTGCCTGTGGTCTCCATTTGTGTTCTATATCTTGCCTTAGTTATTGCATAGATTTTTATTACAACTGCAAAAATGCAGTAGCTCTTCGCCTCTTCTGTTGTATAAAAGTAGCTCCTGATTGAAAAAGGTTTGAGACCCCTGGAAAAGAGTGAGGCATAGCAAAAATCAACATACATGTCTTATATATATAACAATTACATTTGCAGTATTGGGCTGACTCTATGACACTCAATAAACTTATTCTGAAAAAAAACAAAAAACCAATAGGAACAAAACATATCATATTCTTTAACAAAATACATTTCAAACTGACCATCAAAATTAGTGTTACAAAAGTAAGTAAGTAAGTAATGTTTATTCATAAAGCGCATTTTACAGACCAAGGTCACCCAAAGCGTTTGACAATGTTCAGAGTTCAGATATTGTTCCAATCATTCCACACAGGGTGATGACGGAAGCGAGTCGCCGAACACACTGGACCATCCGCTCCAATCAACACCATCCATTCACTCTCTCATTTACATTCATACCTATTGTGCATGTTTTTAGTGGTAGGGGAAACCGGAGCACCCGGAGGAAACCTATGCAGACACAGGGAGAACATGCAAACTCCACTCAGAAAGGCCCTGTTCCGACCGGGATTCAAACCCAGGACCTTCTTGCTGAGAATCGAGAGTGCTATCCACTCAGCCACCGTCCTTTGCGTGTACTCATACAGGTGGCACGACACTGATGTTTGGATAGAAATGAAATTCAGTGCCACTCTTTTTGTGCAGTATTGTGAAACTATATATAAGATTATCATTCAAGCGTTGAGCTCAAATTTGAATGAGCTGCAAAGAATGAAAGCCCCAAACACGTGTCTAAACACACGTGACCTCTCCTGCAGCAGCACAAAGCCCCGGAGCCTCGTTATTAAAATAAACCGTGATAATGATCTGTAATTGCTGTTTGTTTGCTTCAGGAGGGTCATGCTAATCAGGAGCAAGGGCTAACAAGGTGAAGAGTGCTCTCTGCTGTCTTGAGATTGTAAAAGGCACACATACACAGACACACACACACACACACACACACAGGTAAACGCACACAAACGTAGACATGGCCACATACATGCGCACACACAAACACACACACAAACACACAGAAACATGTGAGATTTGACCCTTGTACGCTTTTTTTGATTGCACATTTGGACCACATTGTGTTCAAGTTTAATTAATTGGTATTTTTATTCCGGGTGGAGAGAAGGGGTGGGCAGAGTGCAAAAAGGTAACACTTTAGATCAGTGACCACACAGCATTGGACTTAACCCTTTATTTCTTAATAACTTCAAAGTGATCAGAGATAGAGGCTTCATGCAAATTACAGAAATTATAAGGATGGCCCAAAGTTTATGTAGGAATTAAAAATACCCATCTAATTAGCATAATGACGTCATATGACACAGATACAGATCACTGGGACATGAACACACAAACAGAAATCACTCTGTACCATAGTTAAGGGTCAGGGGAAAAGTCAAACAGTGAAAACCATTGTGTGGCAGGGAGTTTGAATGAATTGTTTTGCCCAATTGATTGTTGATTAAAATCAGCCGTAGCACCTGGAGGGTTAAACATGAAAATGCATACTTGTAAGAAAAGCCCTGAGCACCACTATCTGCCTCTTTGGGCTGAATGAGGAAGGTTCTTACTTGTTCACTGTAAAAACTGATCTAAAGAATAGGCCAAGTCCAGAAACTATATGGTTTTCATGACATAGTCCAGGATTTGTTGTGGTTATTCAGTTATCAACCCCAGATTTAAAGTCGTATATAATCATGTCAAATATTATCCCAACAAATATTTTTATGTCATGTTAAAAATAGCAGCTAAAAGCATCGGATAAAATTCTTCCCATAACTTTGTAGTGTACCTTTTTTGAGGATTTAGAACTTTCCAATTTATCATGGAGCCTGAGCTCAAGGGCAGAATATGGATTAGCTCCCATGGATGTTAGTAAAATGATAATCTGAGGTCAACGACTACCTGGCATCACAATGTTTTGGGTGTTCTGTGTCTATACTGTATATTGATAACAAAACTAAATGAGACAATTGCCTTTAAATCATTTGAGAAGACTGCATTGTATGATTTAGGATGAAAGTGCAGGATTGATAGCCGTGTTTTCCTGAGGGCACATGTTGTGATCTGCAGACCTGTGTAGCCGCTGTGTGAGGTTATATTGAAAGCCCTATCTCCCCCCTGCAGCCGGATGGGCGACAGATTGGACCAAAGCTATAAATATTGTAGCTAAGGCAAGCACATAGACAGTAAATACAGCGTCCCCCCTGCCCGGCCAGATTAAAGAGGAAATACATCATGGAACACACACACACACACACACACAAATGAGGGATGTGTGCTGTTACACTACTAAGTGGGCAATATGTTCTGAAGTCACTAAATACAGCCACATGTGTTACCTTTGTTACAAATTATTATTACTTTAGAACATAATCCATTCATCTGACAATTCGGTTCTGATCATTTTCTAGTCACTTTACCTTCTGCTATTATTACTATTGTTTAATCTGGTCTTATTCTTTGCTGCTACAAAATACAACCATATAAACATCTGTAAATACATCATGATTAATGCTAACTACAGCGCTGTCTCCACACATGACTTATTCTAGAAACCAAGTTAGATTATAAATTCTGAGTTTTATTTTATTATATTGTTATTTTACTATCTATTATCTTAAATAATAGGTCCTCTTTGATGTGTTCAACCAAAGTACTTTTATTTTCTCATTGTATTCTGCTGTAAAGTGCAACAATGACGACAATTTTGTTATGTTCATCTTGTATTGAAATTAGGGCTGTCAAAATTATCGCGTTAATTCACGTTAATTACCGTTTTCATTAACGCGTTAAACAATAATTAACGCATTAACTGCCATTGACGTGTTAACACGTCAATTGCGTTTCCCGTTATTTTCACGTTCCCAGATGTCTGTTGTATCAAATATGTAAGGCTTGAGGCAATATTTTATCGAGCCAGCAGATGGCAGCATTGCTCTATGAATGGGTTGAAAACAGCTAGATGCACAAGTGCCTCTTTTTTCTCAGCTTTCTGGTGATTTCAATAAAACTTACCTCTACTCGACTGGGGATTACAGGGGAACGAAACAAGCTAGAAACAAAATTATTTTTGCTGATGAAAGTAAACAGTCCATTCTTTCAGAATCTGGTTTTGGATTTCAGATAGTCATTGTACACATTATTCTGTGGGTACCTGTTCTGAAATAGGCTGACAGTCAATCGCATGTCCGAATGACCCGCCCATTTATAATAATATCACTCAGAATGCTGCGGACACGTGACAGCGGTAACGTGGTCATATAATACACACATATATATACACGCACAGGGCCATTCTCTGATGTTCTCTGATGATGGAGGAGAGGAGGAGACATGCTGAAATGCAACCAAACTCGCAAAATTA